AATAAAGACAGAGTTATTCGCTAAATTCCAAATGTTTCTAGCAAAAATAATCCAATATCTTTCTGTGCCATTTAGATGCTGCTACATAAAACTCATGAATTCCCCCTGCAAACATTCCCCAAAAATGTTCAATTCTGCAAGCAATTACAATACATACTTGCACAATGGTTTCCCTAAGCAAACATTCCCAAAAATGCACTACCCGTGTGACGGGTAGGGAGGTAAGTGTTAAGCCTCCTTCCTCCTTTATTGCTAGTGCCCCCTCCCAATAAGGGAGAAATGGCCGGTCACAGTCTCTAAGCCATACCCTATAACAGGTAGATCCCCAGATGTTGTAAGACTACAACTCCCACAATTCTTTGCATGCCTTTAGAATACCTTTAGGATGGCAATGCATCATGGAAGTTGTAGTTTAATACGTCATTGGATCTACCTATTGGGCATCCCTGTGATATAGGGTTCATATGGATCCTAATATGTTGTTTTTTCATTAACTCGTTCACTAACGGCTGCTAGCACTGACAAAGGGCAAATAGTTCGGCTTTAAATAGATGTAATTAAAAAAAAAAAAAAATATGCAGGTTTTCTACTTTGAAAAGGATTCACATCTGAGAGTTGCTAATTGTAAAGCAGACACCTGATGGCACTGAATGTTCTCATTTGGCTAAAATAGGTGAATTGAAACACGATGGACTCTTGGTAAAAATATGAGAATTCCAAATCTTAAAATTGATTTGAATTTTTAACAAAATTTTGCTAATCCAGGTTTTGAATAACCCTGAGACACATGAGGTGTGTACTCAAAATTATTACACTTTTCATTGTATAGAAAATGGGTCCCATGCCCACAGAGCTTACACTCTAACGCGATAGGCACAATAATGTGAAACGTTGTCCCTGTTCACACAGATTCCACTCTAATAGGGATACAATATAAGGACTGTGCATATGGATATTGCACTATATGCGTTTGTAAATACAAAGAAATCAGTGCCTTGCCAGCAGAGCTAACAGTTCATAATAAGTGTAAAATTTGATAAACAGATGTTACACCACCCTTGTATTTTTCTGTAAAGAGAACAATACATCTTATTCTCTCATATAAGGATTCAATATAGACAATCCATCTAGATCTGTGAACGTAGAATATACGTTATATATATATAATTTTTTCATACAAAGATATAAGTCCATACTTGCTAAGCCTACACTCTAATATGATGAATACAATCCACAGACAGGTTGGTAGTGTTCACAGAACTACACTCTAATAGAAGGTGTGCATTACAGAGAAAGGAGGTCTGTGTACACAGAAAGTAAACTTTAACGTACCTTTAACAATACAGATTAATTCGTTTGTGTGCAGACTTAATTCACAGGGCACAACAAAAACATTATCCCTGCTCACAGAGCTTACACTCTAATGTAAGGGATACAGTACCGATAACATGCAGTAAGATCATACACATGTATGCCTTTTACAACACAAAGAAATTAGATCTATCTCTACAGAGCTCACACTTTAACATAAAGGGAAAGGTGGCCTGTGCACAGCGCATAGATTATGGTGCATATTTTAAAACATAGAAATACTAGGCTCCACATCCAAAGAGCTATTACTCCTATTAAAAGCATAAATTGCAAAGAGAATGTTTTACACCCTTCATATCTTGCTTATTAGCATCATGCAATCAGTACAATTTACACTCTGCCATATATAGTTAAATACAGATAGATCTTTCACTATCAATGTTATTCAATAAAGTGAGACTTGATGGGAATTCACAGTGAATTTCAAATTTGAGGCCAAAGTAGCCCATGGAAAAACATTTCCTGGGCAGCAATGCTTCTAGTTTGATTACTTTGGCCTTGAACTTGAAATACACTGTGACTTCCTAACATTTCACACTTTAGCGAATAACCTATGTGTATCTGCTCTATTATTTCTACTTTAGTATCTTTCTCTAAAACTGTACTTCCTCTGGTCTGTATTTTATATTCCAATGAACTGGCTGCAGTATTTGACTTAAATCGGTACTCCCAGGCTGCATTTTCTCCAAATGACTCTTGCAAGAGCTTTAGTGGACCCTGATAGTAATGTATAGGTGTGCTGGATACATTGACGCCTTATGAGACACGATTTCCTCACGTTTTCAAATATTGGTTCCCTCGTACTGTGGTAGACAGAGAAAAGAGTATTAAAATGCTTTGTCTTTTAAATCCCATACAATCAGTAATTGTGCAGTTATACAAATAAATCTAAATTAAATATAGAAAAAAACTTTATAGATCCACTGCTTGTTCCAGCATCCAGGATACATCTAGAAGATGAAGATGAAATAAAGAATGGACCATTACTGAAGCAGCTTCTGCGCGGAATGCTATCACAGAAGAGAGATTGGAATACTGGAGGTAATTCTGCTACTGTGATGTCATTACCATGTCATTCATGTACTCTGATGTCACAATTACATGCATGCCTGCCATAGATTTGCATAAGCGAAAAAAAAAAAAATATATATATATATATATATTTATATAAAGATCCTCAAGTTGAAATGTTTCAAGTATCCAAAATGTGTTAATCTAAGAGGAAATATCACATAGAATGAAAAGCACCAAAAGTCTTGAATTCCAAATTTGACCCAAGTAGTTAAAATATTCTTCTCAAAGTTTCAACAAAATGTATATTTTGATGTGTAAAGAAAATGGTATCGGGTAAAACAAGACAAACATCTTAAACAAAAATCTTCATGGATAAATTATTTGCTCTAATCGATCAATAAATTTGCATTTCTGACATTTCTGGACAACAATTAGAAATGATTAATGTGCCTCACTCCCATGCACTCATTTTTTCAGCACAGAGGATTCCTAATGAGGAACCTCTAATTGTAATTTTGCCAAGCACCGATTAAAAGTGTAAAAAAAATGTATGCATGTTTTCTTTGGTGGCATATTTATTCAATAGTGATTTTAATTTTAATTTCAATGTGGGACAATGGAGTTTAGATAAATATGTATGTATTAAAGGGACACTATAGCATTGTGATTGGCTTTGAATAACACTTCTGATGATGTCAGCCAAGCAGGCAGATCAGGGGCAGAGCTAGCAGCAGCAGAATGGAGTTAAAGTAAGATGTTACTATTTTTGCAGGGTGTTTTTTA